CACAACACTTTATCGTCCTGTTTCGGTGATACGGCACTTTGTCATGCCGTCTCTGTGACAGGACACTGTCATTCCGTCCTTGTGACACGATGCGCTGTCGTTCCGTCTCTGTGACACAACACTCTGTCGCTCCGTCTGTCATTTTGTCTCTGTGACACGACACTCTGTCGTTACGTCTCTGTGACACGACGCTGTCTCCCTCATCTCCGTGACAGGAAATCCCCAGCATCTCCATCCGTCCCCAAACCCTCTGCCGCGCCACACAGCGGACAGAGGCACCGTGTCGCCCTGTGTCGGTCGCAACCCGCCACAACACAGTGGCGGGCCGCTCCCCAAACCGCAGAGGATTAAACGATGCTGCGGTTGCAGCGTGGTGGGCGCGGCCGGGGAGCAAGATGCATGGGTACGTCCTGAGCGCTGAATGAGGCACTGCACGTTCTCATTCGTTCGTCACGACGTCGTCGTGCTTAAGCAGGACTTTGAGCACGGTGGGCGCGGTTGATGCGGCAGGTCAAACGGGTCTGGCTTCAGCTATCAGAACGCATCCGGGTTGAGACCGCTGCTCAACATTATCAAGTCTGACGATTATGCCATTGGCGCAATGACATGTCTTTGTGGACTTTCCAAAAGAGCCACGTGATTCCCGGCAACAGTTCAGCACAGGTTCAAAACTTATGTGATCATGGTGTGAAGTCCTCGCCACTTTCATGATCAACTGGTGTTGGGGGAGAGTCACGCTATTATGATATAAGTAGTGTATCGAAAGAAGCACTACTCGTTTTGATTCAAGGATTTTGCGTTGATATTACATTATTGCAACGTAAACAATCTCTCATTGAAAAAATACCACGCTGGAGCGAAACAGTCAACGGCAGTAATTGATCTCACATCGCGATTTATTTCTAAATGACCTGGCAACATACACTTATTACCCAGCCGCATGTCCGAAAGAACGTCAAAAACCTGTAAGTTTTGCCACATCGGTAACGTGGTCCACACAAAAAGGGGGATGTCACATTCAATACGCTAAACACTACGGCTTCACCAGTTCGGCAGTTCTTGTCCCAGTTCACAGCCATAATTTCATCACACGGCACACGTGTGATCCCGTTAGAACATGCACCTGCAGGCGGATGCTTCCAGCATCCGGTGACCGAGTTAGCAAATGTCCGGGAGTTGACTGAGGATCGCGGGCTTACGTTTCGACGCGGACTGACGGGCACACCCTGCCTAAACTCAGTCCTGCAGGACGGCCGTCGGCCTTTGAAGCAGTCTCGGATCAAGGATTCCCACATGGGTGAGGTTTCTTCAGAAGAGCCACCTGTTGTGTGAGGGACGTAGAGGGGCATCATGTAGCGGGCATATGGATGCCATGTAACAGTTATTAGCACGCGCGCTTGCAATTCTGAAGGGCAACAGCACCGACATCCTGCAATGTAATCTCCGATAATAACCATATCGGTATGGCTTTCTTGTGGTTGTGTGGAGGTAATAATGCGTGGATAATGACTTGACAAAAATTGCTTCTTTGAACGCTTTATTAACTCGGTTATTACGGGTCAAGGACACTATGGGCGGGAAATTTTACCTGTGAAATTTTGTGGATGATACTCCGAACGGATTAGCCGTTACATCAGCGTGCCCAGCCAGGATTTCGTCGCGCGCTGCGCCAGTGACGAGAAATGTAAAAACCAACAACGCGTGCTTGTCCTAGCATCAGATTGCTTCAGAGGGCATGTCCAGATAGCTTTAAAAACACAGATGCCGGTTTTACCCCAGCGACTGAACTCGGTTGTTGATCAGCACCAAATATTGAAGGGTGTTTGTAGCCTGAACTGCTATCGGAGCGACGGCTCACGCTTATTTTACTCAAATGCTGATCTGCACCAGTCCACGTCCGAATGTTATCGACCTCCAAAACACTGGGGTGAGAGAGCGTAACTCTCTACCTCGATGAGAGACGGCACGAAGTGCTTCACTCGCATCGGCGTCATCATCATCATCGTCACCATTAAGCATCATCTGCAGCACAGGCCCCGGCCACTACGCCGCTGCCAGGCTACGTGCTTGCCAACGGCACGCTCACCCGCTACAGGGTTTTTCACCAGAAACAACAATCTTAAAAGTACAAGTTGGCATGCTAAAAATAAGCTAAGCACGCGCCATCTGGCAGGCATTGCTGAGAATTGCCAGAAATGTAGGTTGGTGCCTTTCCCGCAATCATTCTGGTCAGAGAACTAGAGAAGCCGACCTCCGTCTCTGTCCGTTAAGCCAGCAGACGGACACGCCATTCGCCAGACGCTGGCGATCGTAGCAGGTGTGGGCCATTCTGCAGTTGGGAGAATTGTGTTCGTGTTTAGGCGGATGTCATGGAGACGTTTAGCTGGAGAGAGGAGTACTGCAAAAAAACAAATTGTTAGTGTTTTAAGATCTTTAATATCCATAAATACGTTATCAAATGTTATTTTATACATATCGCAGCCTCTCCAAAATTGATGCTGATGGAGCGCCCCAAAATTATCGTGTGAATTTTACTCCAGCGAGATTTAAGCGCAGCTTAATGCGGAAGTACTGCTCTTACTCTGAACGATCGGGATGTTAGTCTGGGTCGGTCAGAACGGAAGATTACAAAATTACATGGCTCTGACTCTGTGCGTATGTTGCGGTGCTTGCTTAAGTTTGATACGTGAATGTTTTGCTGTGTAATGAAAAGCAGCAGTAGTATGGCTTTAGAGGCGGGCCAACTGCAGTGGTTATTGGCGACCATATTCGTTGCGTAGTCATAAGCCTATAGAGCTGCTGTAAGTCATTCATAACACGGTTAATGCGCCCCAGACTGCCCTACGAAATTGCTTTAATAAACCATTTGGAAGGACAATATCCTAGCACACGAAGGTGAAGTTTGGGAGTTGGCGTGTTACACACTCGATGCTGGCTTCCGGTGTGTTATATAATCCCCTTAGGATATATATATATATATATATATATATATATATATATCACACAGCCTCCAGGAGCTTTCCGAGCGAACAGGAAGACTCAAGGACCGGTGTAACAGGCCCCTGAGTGACTGATAGCGTCCAGCTGATGAAGGTGAGGGCCCCCGGGAACCAACAAAGTAGAAATCACCCAAGATGAACATGGTGGGCCTCTGTGCGATCGAGAGCATCCAGGCAGGCGAACAGATGATGTGACCGACAAGCGTAAGAAGACGCTCCGCAAGTGGAGTAAATGAGGGAAACTCTATACCAATGTATATGATATGCCAAATACCCATACCCCTGAGCATCGAGTGTGTCTCGGTAAGTTGGGTCTCGGTAAGTTGGGCCCCTACCGCAACGTCGGGCCCTCCGAGCAAAAGGGAAAAAGCCGAACCGATGTGGAGAGGCCCTGAACAATCAAGAGGACCGACAGGTTAACATACGGACCCTCAGTAATAGTGTGAACCCCCGAGAAGGAAGGAAAGGACCCACGAACCGATTGTAGGCCCCTCCACAAATGGGAAGAAATAAGAAGGGAGCTGGACCGATGAAGGGGCCCTGAGTATCAAAAGAGCCTCGGCAGGTTAGCTGATGGGGCTCCAGCAGCAGAGCAGGGCGTTCCGACCAATGAGAAGAATCCAAGACGACTGTGAAGGGCCCCAGAGCTGCCACGAGTGCCCCAGCGGGCTAACATACAGGCTGCCGGCAGTGGCGGACAGCCTACCAAGCAAACGGAAGGCATTTGTCGATGGCCCCGGAGCGATCGAGTGGGCCTGGGGGTGGTAATATGCAGGGCCTCTGGTGACAGCATAGGACACTCCGAACAAATGGCAGCAGCCCATTAGCAGCGTGGAAGGCCCCTGAACGGTGGAAATGGCGTGTCCGGGAAATCGACATTTAGGTCGATTTACCCCGTTAATAATAGCATAAGGGCCTGTGAACATCATGTGTCCTAAGTATTCTACAGCCCTTTCAATAAGCCAACAGCTCTCTTTGCCTGCTCTTGGGCCGTTCATTTTCACTTGATGCCGTCCTTCGCCGCTTGCATGCCGGAGGACGTCCCGTTTTTGCGCCTTGCGTTGAGAGCCTTGCATCTGTTCGGGCGGTTTTTGACCCATTTGCACACCAGTGGGGTCTGGGGGGGGGGGGATCACCCCATTGGTCTCCTTTGGATCCGCCCCTGCTGCGAAGCCAGCACACGTCCATGCCTCGGCGAAAAGCGCAGCGCTTAGGAAGGGGACGATCCGTTTACACGCTATTATCTTCACTAGTATTATGTCACGTTTAGCCCAATTGCCTGACTATGTGGTTAACAAGTGCCCAGATAGAACTCACGATTATAGCGTGGCGCGCACCACGAGTATGAGCAAATGGAAAGAGCGTTGGACCGAAGAACAGATCCCTGAACATTGAAAGTGTCTAGGCGCGTTAAAACTTATAGGGCTCCAGCAACGGGGCAGGACCCCCCAACGAATAGGAAAAGCCCAAGACGGATTTGAAGGGTGCAAGAGTTACCGTGGTTACATGTATATACATATATATATATATATATATATATATATATATATATATATATATATATGCATGTATGCAATGTTTAGATATAACAAGTAGGGGCCACGAAAAGACCGTAGGCTCACGTTAAATAAGAGCAAAATGGAAGAGCGCTGAACCAAAGAGGAGGCGTCCTGGTCACAGGGCTTAACTCACCGGTCCGAAATCTCACATGTCTGCAAAGTCTGTTGTCCATATCGTGGAACGAAACTGAATAATTCTTCCCCAAGGTGCCTTTGACCTTCAACTGCTGTGTAGAACTACTTGCCTTCCCATGATTCGAGGTGTAAGCCAGTGCTTTTGGATGTCGGTGGAATGTCGGGAAACACATTGTGTATCTGGCGGTGGATTAGCAGCTTCGGAATGTTCGCTGTAGTGTGGCGGGCGGCGTTAATCATCTTCAAAAAAAAGGTAAGATGTCGGATCAGAAGCGTCAAGCCAAGCCCGCTGGAAACAAGACGTCAGATGATTGATGTAAAGTCTGATGCAAGCCCAAGGAACAACATGTGCTGAGCACGCAAGACCCCGCAGGGCAGACCGAGTCTAATTGTACGCATAAGTTGTTACAGTGCCGCTGCCACACAACTGTGAGTCCGGCTGCGACGACAATGTCTGTTTGTGCTTTGAAACGTCTAATGGTTGTCCCAGTTTTATGCCGTCATCCCCGCTACTCTAGTCGGTGCAGTCAAGCGACGATTCTTCTTCGACAGATGGCTAGTTGCTAAAATGACCAAATTTCATAAACAAAAAAGACCTAAAGCTCCTCGTTTTTCGATGCCGGGGATGAGTTTAGGGTCCTTATGCTGACAGTTATATTCCTATGCTGGCTTAAATATACCGGGAGGTGCTGGTGAAGCGATTTATTAGGCAAATGCCGGCTATATTGCCAATGTTGCACGGTTCCAGTCGTGCTTATGACAAAAAAGTGCCTGCTTATTCACCCAAATCCAACAAGCCCACTGGAGATCTCAAGCACGACTTGAACCGTCGAGCGTTGACAATACAACCGATGGTTGCTTGGTAACGGCGTTTAACCAGTGCCACCCGGTATATCGTAGGCAGATAACTGCCAGCATTGAACTCACGAGCGGATGTGTTATCTCTTATCATAAGACGTCCAGGTATTGTTGACGGTGAAAGCTTATTGAAATGCCTTGCATTCTTTTACTTAAGGGCTGGGCAGATCAAGTTTGCAGCAACTATACGCTGTCCGCATTCATGTTTGAACGTGACATGGGAGAGTCGGTCATGTTGTTACGTAATTATGGAGATGAAAGCAGCAGCGTCGGTGGAATGTTATCAACACCCGGTGTTCTCCACACTAACGGAGGTGTATTCAACTCCTGCCGAAGTAGTTACTATTCCAAGAGGTAAGCTGCCTGTTGCCACCCGGCCTTCTCTACACTAACAGAGGTGTGTGCGACTCATGTCGAAGAATTCGTTATTCCAGGAGGTAAGCTGCCTGTTTTCCACAAGGCGTTTCCTGTAACACTCCGACAGTAGCAAAAGATCGGCACTCAGTAGTCACGTGTGGATGAAGTCCAGCGAGCGAAAACTAACTTCGGCCGGAGTCCGGGCGGAGTTCATGGCCAGAGTCCGGGCGGAGTCCATGGCCGGAGTCCGAACGGAGTCCCGGGGTAGAGTCTGATGGACGCAGGTGGGACAACGCGACGCTCGTGTGAGTGTGGGTGGCGGCGAAACAGCGCTGCCTGTCGCGCAGAGTGGGTGAGCCACGTGACCACAACTTCCGCTGTTTTCAACAACGCAAGCGCAAGTCGCATCCGTTGTTTTGATACCTGTTCACAATCACAGGTTCCTTATGGCCCAGATAAGATTAATTTTGCCAGGGAAACGATTATCGCGCAGTCTTTGCAAGCTGCGCTAAGTAACGTAACGATATGCAGCATGAAGTCGGCATTGCTTTTCAACTTGATCGATACAGATGGGGTACTTGGTTCGGCAGAGATGTGGCAAACACTTCCAGGGGCACAGGACCATACGAAAGTGGGGATGGGGTGGGGCAAAATGCAATTCGGAACCATTTTCGCACTTCGCCGTGTCATGCATCACCATATTGGCCAAGGATACGATGTCCTCCGATGCTGGAGGGCGAATGCTAGGTTTCGTCAACTGGTAGGATCACGCTCTTCCCGCCCCTTATGGGGCCTCCCGTGGACCAGCGCCACCTTGCACGGCGCTCCGTGTCAGTGGGTCAGCCCTCCTCGCTGGGCAAACACCTTCGTGCGCTGTCAGCGACGCCGAGCCGCCTCCCAGTGGTGGGCATTTCCGGGCCTGATCAACGGCCACGGCCGTCGCGTTCCAGAGGAGGACTGTTCGTGTCACATGCAAAACTATGGGCGTTACGGGGCCGGCCGCACGCAACGGCGGTGGCCGAGAGCCACCCCACCGGCTCGGCCTGGATCCGGGCCAACAGAGTAGACGCGTGGGCTGTATGCGATAACCCCTGGGCTTCAGCGGGGTATCATAGGCTCGCTTCGCCGCATTGAGGCGGATTAAAGCCAGGGTAGGGGTGTCGAAGGCAAGCAAATGGTTAGAATGCCCACACCAAGACATGTCCCGTATAACTATCACGCTGAATCATAGTAATTGCACAGCTACTCCTCGAAGAATTAACTGTGATGCATATTTGTCTATCAGAAAAAAGCGTTCCAAAAGTGCTCTTCGAAACAGGATATAAAGCGTCTTCACGCTATGACTCATCGGCATCATCATACAGTTATCACTTGATCACCTTACCTCGACTCGTTCCGGCTCACACAGGCCAGCACCCAGCTCCAGCTGCTTCGGCGCGCCATGATATAGTCAGTGCACGCTACTGGCTGGAAATGCCGCTCCACCTAGAAACCATGAAATACAAATATGGTGGGATCGGATCCACAGCTCTCAGATCCAAGGATTGCGCATTTTTAGCGAAGGAAGTATTGTCACAGGGTAGCCGCAAGGTTGCGCTTTGAGGGTTCAGTAAGCCACTCCCCCAGCGGTCGGGAATACCACTCAGTGCCATACCGCGGTCACGTGCGTTGCGTGTTGCCAACAACGGAAATGGGGAATGTTTGCCAAGAAAAAATATTGAATTGAGCACAGATGGAACTGAGCCACTCGAAATCATGTCAGACGAATTTTATGAGTCACGGAGAGCCACGGCACTTGTTTTGTTGCACGCTTGACACACAATTCCCACTTAAGCGAGTCGAAGACACGGGCTGTCGATAACGTTTATTTTACTTAGCTCGGTCGGCGGCGAGGAGCGCCGCTGTCGGCGCCCGTCTACTACATCGATACATCAGCTCGGTCGGCCCGCGGCCGCGTACAAGCGTGCCGAGGCAGCCGGGTGAACTGCTACATCCCCGGGCCCGCCTGCCATCAGGAGCAGCGCGCCGCGCGCACCGGACTCTCGCGTCGCGCCCTGGTACCGCGCCCGGCCAGCCCGGTGGCCCGCCGGCGACGGTGCGAACACAGGCCGGAGGAATGTCTTGCGTTACGCCGGTGCCGAGGCCCCATAGGCATGGTGCGCTATCACGTGTATCACAAAAGAGCGTTAGGCGCCATGCACCGTGCCGCCTCTTGGCGGAGCTGGGAGCTGACGCCGAGTCGGGTGGGATATTACTAGACCGGGACGGAGCCCGCAGAGGTGAGGAAAGATCCGCATGATTGGGGGCGGGAGCGCCACCTTAGGGCGGGCACAGGAATCAAACTTATTCTGTTTTCGGGGTCTTCAATTACAAGTCGTAGCACGTCGATGACGCAATTCCAACCGTAGGGTGTGGAAGCAAATGCCACAAGTTATTATGCGTGACTATCACGGTAATCAAAGACATATGAATCATCTCGACAGAGGTAGAGCATTAACTACGAGCCCGTAAAGGCCAGGCACGCACCACGCGCCACGCGCGTGAACGCGTGAGGCGTGCACAGTAACAAGACATCCTCTGGGTGCTCAGCCCAGCCGGGAGACGTCCATCGACAGAGGGACGGCCCCGTCGCACGCACAGTAGTGGCAGCCGTCCTTGAAGGCTCGCGGGCAGTGGGCGGGGCACACGGCCGTCGGGCAGCGGGAGCGGGCGGCCGGGCAGTCGCAGGGCGGGCACAGGTCACATTGGCAGCTGGGGCAGCCGGAGGCCGGCTCCACGGCCGCGCGGCAACCCGCCGGACACACGACCTTGGCACAGTCGGGCCGGCCGGCCGCAGCGCACGAGCACACCGGGCACCCGCGGCCGTCCAGGCTGACGTCACAGCGCGGCGGACACTGCAGCGGCTCGCAGTCGGCCGAGAGCGCCGCCAGACCGGTCGGCGCCGCCGGCGGCGGCGCGGCCGCGGCCTCCGGGCAGGGGCAGGGCGGGCACGCGGCGGCCGTCGGGCAACGGCAGCGGCCGCAGCCGTCGGCCGAGGCGGTCAGCTCGCAGGGCGGTGGGCAGGACAGCTGCGGGCAGCGGCGCGAGCTCTGCAGCACCAGGTCGGCCAGGTCCGCCGGGCCGCAGTCGCAGGATGGGCAGCCGTCTCTTCACCGTCTCCCGACATTCGGCCGGGCAGGCGACCGCCGGCGGACAGGCGGCCGGCGTCCGCCGCCGCGGGGGACAGTCGCACACGGAGCAGCCGCGACCATCCCGCTTGTACCCGCAGCCGGGCCGGCAGGTCACAGCGGGGCACGGCGGGCGCGTGGTGGCCGGCGGCGGCGGCGTCGACGGAGAGTCACACTCGCACACGATACAGCCGTGCTCGTAGTGGCTGGCGCAGCCGACGGGACAGAACTGGCGCTCGCAGGGGATGGCAGCGGCCTGACTGTCCGCTTGGCAGTCGCACTGCACGCAGCCGTACTGGTCCCGGCTGGTGAGGCACGAGCTGGGACACTCCAGCAGCTCGCAGACGTACGCCTCTGAAAACCAGGCCAGGTGTCAGCGGTGCCCGGTACTACAGGCCCGAACCATACTCCACGGAAACTCCGGCTCAGCCTGAGCTGGCGCAAACAATGGAAATGATCGGTCTCATGGCCCACAGAGTCATGCTTGCACGCTAGCTTTTTATTTTCACTCAGGCTGGACCGGAGAAAAGAATGCGGAGCTGGTCTGGACAGATTTACCGCTGGTGGCTGTGCTGCGCAGTCAGATCGAAGGGGTTTGTGCATGGCCCTCGTTTGAGTCGTCTACAGGGGTTTTCCATCCCGAACGACGTGTTGTTTGTAGGTAGCACACATTGTGCAAGCGGGATACGACAACGACAGCCGAATCAAAGCTACCGCGGGATGGATATAGCTGGTGGTAGAATTTCATTTGACTGATAATTTTCCTTCAAAATAATTTTTCATCGGATTCAAGGAAACACAATGCTACATTGACGTCATACGTGACCACTTTAGATGGAGGTAAGTCTTGAGCACAGGTATATTTTTAGTCCACAAACTGCTATCTTCCCAGCAGGAAAAACCACATATAACTTAGATTTCGCCTTCGAAAGACCACACACATGTCCCCTCAACTCCCATTTTACTTGCACACGCTCCACAGTGACACTTCGCGTTGTGATCCCGTCTGTTTCAAGGCAATCCAACAAAACTCCGCAACCAGGAAGTCATTCACGACGTCTAGCGTACAGCGCTAACAACTGTCACCAGGCTGCTCCGGCATCAATGGAAAATATCGACCTTGCACTGCCCGTCGGCCTTGCATTGCCCAGTTCCCCTTGGCGACCAGTGCGTGTTCCGTCAACGGCACGCAGCATGACTCCAGATGGGGGGCCGAGCGGCGCCGTTTGCGGCCGCCGCGGCGCCGCCAGCCACCGGTCAGACTGGTGTCACGAGATAACATCGCGGCCGCACGCGTCCAGCACGAACGCGAAACGCGGGCGTCATAGCGCTCGATGGCTGGTAGCAGAACGCGGCGCTAGACTGGTCGCCTGCTCGCTGAGGAAGTGCGTGAGGCGGGCGGGTGAGGAACGTGTGTTGATTGTGCCGTTAACATGAGGAATGGGACGCATACGAGGAATGCCCGACGAAACGAGCACACTTTTCGAAGGCGGCTTCACAAACTGCACGTAAACGTACGACATGCACATGGAAGATTGACTGCAATGTCATACACGAGCTAGATCTGTGAAAGTTAACACGGAGTTCGAGAATGTATCGCAATTACGACAGCAAGCATTGGGCGAATTGACAAAATGCATCTGAAAAAGCCAAAGTGATCTCGGAGCAGTGGTTGAACTATGAAATCAAAAGTTGAACTGCGAAGCATATCACAAGGCAAACCGACCCTACCCCTTCATAGTGTTCATTGTGTTTGCTGTCCGAGAGGTGGGCAGAGCGGCAATCGATGCGTCGGTGAGCCTGTCCTGTCTCCTGGCCCCGATTTATAACTACACCATGAATTTTTGATTATTGTTCTTCCATCAATATCCAACGATATGATGCCACTCTATCTTGAGAGATGAAGCCGGTTTGTTATTTTTGCGGGTTTCTGTTAACCGTGCTTCCAATTTTGGCACCATGAGAACTTGCGGAAGCACGTGACCAGAGTATGAACATTTTTTGGGTGAACGCGGACTTAACTTTCGTTCGGCCACTAGATGCTGTAGCCATCTTTGCAATCACGAGGTAACAGGAACACCGATAAGACCGGTTTGGTAAAACTGATTCCTTTATCCTTTACAAAAAAAATTATAACGGGCCCCAACGATCAACGATCAATACACCCGGATCGCACGAACATATCTATTTACCGTTTAATCATCGCACGAAGTCCATTTAAATGCGTGGCATCCCCAGGGACATCAATCAGGTACTTGTACGCGGCAAACCATACGTAATTGTACCCATAGAAAGCATCACACGGCTGGCAAAGCGGACAAAACAGCGAGATGGTCATATAACGGTCTTGTTAAAAAGTCCAAGCCCCCAATGCTGACAACTGCCAGTTTTCAGAGATGCACAACTGACCAGACTAAAAGCGTTTTTTTTTATTTAACCAAAAGTGGCCCAAGCTTGTAGAGTCACTCAACAGCAGCGAACGTCTCACGCAAATAATCGGTGTGTAGTAGTAACCGGGGGTGGGTGGGGAGGAAGACAGAGCGGCAGAGAGGCAGGAAGGGCGTGAATTCAGGCGTTCGCACAGTTTGTTTCCATGGCAACGGTTTGCCTCAGTCGTGCATGCTGATGTGGCGCGTATATGCGTCACTTCTCGCCTCGCAGCGCGCCGCGGCGAGGATGTCCTCTCGGCCGCCCAGTTTGAGCTGGCTGGGTGGCCGGCTTCTGCGCATGCGTCGCCGGCCCGGGTGAGCATTTTCAGCCGCTGCGGATTTCCGACGGTAGGGCAATTCGATCGAATCGATTGGGCTATTTTACCATTGATGTGCGGTGTGATATCATGCAGCGTTGCTCAAGTTGAATTGTTATCGGTAGGATGTGCCGAGTTAATACAAGTCTAATTTCGGCACAGTCAATCTAAATGCTTATCACAATGTGCATCGCTTAAATAACGATTCTAGTGACGTCCATGGACTACGGTGAGTTGGCCCACGCAGTGCCTTTTGCGCCTGTAAAACACCTTAAGTCAGCACGCGAGTTAATTCCGCAGCCCGAGCTGTCACCATCCAGTTTGATTATCAGCTCAGAGCACGTAGCTCACCTTCAGGGTCTTGCTGCGGCTCGGGATGAAGGCATTCGATCTCGGGACAGCACTCTCCCGACCGGTAAATTGTACTGCAGCCTGGCCTGACTGACGACAGATGGCAGAGCTCCAGGGAACACTCGGGACCCAGGTTTGGCAGCTCCGGGGCGGCAGCGTCACAAACCAGCTCCGGACAACACGCCCCTGGGTCCCGCAGGCGGTATTCGCACAGCTCTTCTAGACCTGGTAAAAAACAGCACCAAATGACATCAGGTAAGCGAAGTCGTCGTCGTCGGGTGCGACGGAGTGTCCACCGACTGCAGTCCAATCGCAGCAGGCCACTTGAAACGGTGCGCGTCCACCCCGGTCTCCTCACGCGCGGCTTCGCGCTCAATCCCGGCGACGCGCCGTCTTACCGAGTCACCACGAGGGCGTCAGCCTGGCTGGCTTCACGACAGGCCTGATGACACTCCCCGCCGGAGAGGTCGCGCAAGCGCACACGCCCCCACGCAGCGATCTCGTCCCGGGTACGGCCCAGCCGTGGGGACAGTTAAGCATGGTTGCGGCGCTTCCCACCTTCTACATCATTCATCACGGAGAGGGGTAATTCGAACACGGCCGACCATTCATTGGCCCTGAAATGATCAAGCAGTGTCGGGAGCTCTAGTCTAACCAAACCAAAGCATTGGCACTAGAGGAGTGGCTCCGACAGGTCGGTTTGGGCGGGCCACGTGACCGCGAACCGCGGCCAGCCACCTGGCGAACGGGTCAGACGTTTGGCATCGCCACGGGCTGCACGAGGCCCGCGCTCGGGCTGTGCTGCGCGGGCTTCAGGGACAGTGACGTGAATACAGCGCGGCTTACCGCGGGCCTGTCCGCATCGGGCGGGGCTTAGAATGCGGTGCGGGTGTGCTGAACTGCCCCTAGGTCTCACGGGTTCACAGCGTGACCGTGTGCACGGTACGGGACCATCGCGTCGCCTTCGATTTTTGCTCGCTGCACGGGTTCTTTGGAAAGCCAAGGCCATGGGACCACTGCTCTTGGCTGGAGTCTGTGTTTGCAACGGAGTGATTTACACATGTCAGGTCTTTTCGCGGAAAAGAAAACGATAGAGTCTGGAGGTTACACAACAGCGTAATGCACCTGCGATGACGCTCAGCCTCTGTGCGATCCTCGGTGGCTTCATTTATAGCGCCGTGATTGAATTTAGACGACGTCTGTTTGTAGGATAGTCTGCCACGCGGCTTGAACATGACTATGACTTTTTGACTTATATTATGACTGCCTGAATACGCACGCGTGCACGCATGCATATGCTCGTCCTGGAATGTTTATCATTTCATTTCATTAACGCCATAACGTGCCTGCTCATGTTGCATCGTGCACGCGGTCATAATCTCAAACAGTCAACAACACACCTTCAGAAAACTTCACCGTTCCTCTTTTACAACTTTCGCAATCGAAACAGTAATCTGGATATGATTCACTGAGGGGCGTTTTAGCGGGCCACGGCGCTGGCATGGCTAGATGCTCACCCGGTACTATCTGAGGACAGTGCAGCTTGCGGCAGGTCAGCTTGGGCGGCGTCAAACACTCGCAGATGGTGCACTTGTCCTGCACGTCGATCCAGGTGCCGCGGGGAACGTTCTGGGTGCCGAAGGCGCATGTGCTTTTCGCTCCGGCGTCTGAAGTGTGCGACCTTGGGTCATGGAGTGGCTGGTCGGCGCGCGCCAGAGTATCACGGGCGTGAGGTACACGGCCATCGGGGTTTGGATGCTTCAAAGGTCGCTGCAAGTATCGTACAGGTAACGTATGCGGGCGAGAAACGAGAGTTCTTGAGTGGTTATATAAATACAAGTCACTGCGCAAATAGCTATAAAGGCTCAACTGCCAATCCATAAGCATGATTCAATGTGCTTCTTCTTTGGGATATGATGAATCCACCAGCAACATTATTCCACTGCGGACACTGCGACGGGTGTAGGTGGACTTACCAGGCAGATATTGCACCAAGACGCCGCACTCCTGCGAGCACTCCTCATACGAAGCGAAGTTGTTTCCATTACCCATACAGCCACGGAACGGGTGACAGCGAGCCGTCTCAGAGCTGAAGAAATAGCGCTGCTGGAAGAAGCGGCAGGGGCCCGGATCGGGCCGCGAGAGGCAAGTGGACGCCACTGAAAACGGGGACGGTGACGCCTCAGGTGAAGCAAGGATACTCGACCTCGAATGCCTCATGACCTACACCGAGACTGATTTTTGGAAGGCGAGGCATGGCGCTTCTACTGCTGATGTCTACTGCAGGGACATCAGATATCCTTGATAGTTTCGAGTGGCGCCACTACACAGCCAGCCAGTCATAATGCCAACTTCAGGCATCGTGATCCTCAAAACTATTGGGTTGGCGCAGATAACACTGTTCTATTCGGACGCATTCATTTTCGAATATTTTTCAAAATACATCTACGTCTGCATCTCTTACAGAACTGACCCCAAGCCCGCTACACGTCACTGTCACACTATTAAACCCTTCGTTTGAGGCATGCGATATTGCGGTCACATTCTATTTGTCTCGAAACTCTCAAATTAGAAGAATACTAAAAGACAGACGTTTATCAAGTGATCATCTCACCGGCACAAGACATGGGCCATGGTTCTGGGACTGATGACGACGCCTCAACGATTATGTACGGGTTGTATAACACACGTAGAGCCGTCAAATTAGAACCGGCATTCCATAACAGTGGTAATGCAGCTATCATATTTGGCCTGCCATAAAGTGTTCGTGCCTCGTCGCCGTGTTTCGGAAAGTTCACAGGCAAGTGACATTTCGAACTGAGTTGACCGAATTGCCTCGGCACTGGTTCGTCATTTTATGTGGTATTATCACGGTAGCCTCGAACGTACTCCGACCAGCGCATCTGACCAGCATGGCAGCGACGACTTCGATGCGAAAATAGCCTATGGTCATTAATTCGACACACGCAGCTGTAATAGTTAAATGTGAGGGTTAGTTGCTTACTGATGATATATCAGATACGTAAAATTAACGTGAGTGGCAAAAAACGACACCCAAGTCCAATTTCCCATAAGAAATAATGTTAGAGAAGACAGAAATTTTGCAAATAACGTAGGTCTTGAAAAAGGCAATCGACTGGTTCACATTATAACAGTACACTCACTCTCTTTGAACAAACGTGTGCCATCCGGGTCTATTTAACAGAGGCCCTCGCACCTTTCTGAAGGCGGCGCTTGGTTTCCATCGAGCCTGGCTGACATTTGTTGTAGCACTCCTCTTCTGTGAGGAAATTGTTCGCGTTGCCGTCGCAGCCTCCGAAAGTGAAGCTCTCACAGACCCCCGACTCGGCGTGGAAGAAGTATCTCAACAGAACGGAGTCACAGCTCCCAGAAGTAGGCGGCAGGAGGCAGAAGTCTGGAGCGGACAGGCGCGGAACCCGTTACTTAGCTCACCAAGCGCTAGGACGTGTGGCATCTGTAAGATCTGGTCAGCAGGCACAAAGAATCAAAGGCGAAATCATTGTTCGGACTATCGTCCTCGTCTAGTGTGCCAGTATATACACAACGTTTCGGTCATTTCACGCTCCAGCCGCCGTCAGAGTCCTAGGAATGGCTGGATTATGTCTTGTTTTCGGCCATGTTCTCGTCACAACCTGCATTGTCTCACTGGCATACCTAAGATTCAAAACAGAATTCTCACTTGCGAGTCCCGTAATCTACCAACTGAGCCAACCGGGAAGGGCTTTCTTTGTCAGTTTGGCTCACCACCAACTGAGCTACTGAGCTGACAGGGAAGAGCCTTCCCTGCTGGCTCCGTTGGTAAAGCACTGGACTCACAAAATGAAGACCTTGGCTCCAATCCCAGCCATACTGAAGACAGAACTCGGCCCGTGACGTGTATGGGGCTGAAAGTCAAACAACACCTGGGGGCTAAACAGCACCTGACAACGGCCCGAGAGTCAAATGGCCGATACGTTGCATGCGTATCAACACACCAGACGGGAACGTTAGCCCAAACAACAAGACCATCCACAATACGAATACCTTGTCTCAATCCTTCCGCAAAACTAGTCACAAAGTGCTTGGAGCGTTCGACATCCGCGGACGATGCACAAGCTTGGAGATCTGCACCATGTGACCCATGAATGACTTGTGTAAGTTTCAACGAATAGAAGCACTTAAAAATTGTCAAGAAAGCTTATGCGCATTTCGACCCTCACATGGTTTTCGAAAAGCCCATTTCAGTGTACAACATATGACGAAAGGTGACAAAACTCGAAACTGCCGTACGAACTAAGCTTCCTCAAGAACCTTAACTGATTATTTCCCGTGTTGATAATCTAACACAGACAACTCCCGTTGCAATTAGTGGTTAAGTCGTTCCAAATTACCAACTTGGTTGACACAGGTTGGGTTCGAACAGTACTAGCTCATGACGCCTGCTCGCTACCTACAGTGCGATTTTTAAAAGGCATTACAGTCGTGGGTCACCTTGACTGTCCGTTGGGACGCAGGTGTTCTTGCATTGCTCCAGACTGACGAAGTTGTTGGCGTTGCCGCCGCAGCCGCCGTACTCGAAGCTGGTGCAGGCGCCGCTGGTGGAGTCATAGCTGAACCGTATCAGGCGCTCCGAACAGCTGCCCGCGCTGGTCGGCAGGAGACAGGCGCCACCGCTCACCGACGCCAGTGACACTGCGCCGCACAAGATAGACGTCATAGGCACTGCACCGCACAAGATCGGGCCAGTGATACTGCGCCGCACAAGATAGATGTCATAGGCACTGCACCGCACAAGATCGGGCCAGTGATACTGCGCCGCACAAGATAGATGTCATAGGCACTGCACCGCACAAGATCGGGCCAGTGATACTGCGCCGCACAAGATAGACGTCATAGGCACTGCACCGCACAAGATCGGGCCAGTGATACTGCGCCGCACAAGATAGATGTCATAGGCACTGCACCGCACAAGATCGGGCCAGTGATACTGCGCCGCACAAGATAGACGTCATAGGCACTGCACCGCACAAGATCGGGCCAGTGATACTGCGCCGCACAAGATAGATGTCATAGGCACTGCACCGCACAAGATCAGGCCAGTGATACTGCGCCGCACAAGATAGATGTCATAGGCACTGCACCGCACAAGATCGGGCCAGTGATACTGCGCCGCACAAAATTGACGTCAGAGACACTGCGCCACACAAGATAGACGTCAGATACACTGCGCCACACAACGCCGCACAAGATAGACGTCAGATACACTGCGCCACACAACGCCGCACAAGATAGACGTCAGAGACATTACACCACACAAGATCAAGTCAGGGACACTGCGCCGCACAAGATAGACGCCAGAGACACTGCATCCGACAACGCAGAGGTCAGGGACGCTGCACCGCACAGTATCAGGTCAGGGACACTGCGTCACACAATATAGATGTCGTAGGCACTGCGCCACACAAGATCGATGTCAGAGACTGCGCCGCACAAGATAGACGTCAGAAACAATGCGCCGCACAAAATAGACGTCCGAGACACTGCACCGCACAGCACAGAGATCAGGGACACCGCACCGCACAAGATGGGCGTCAAAGGCACTGCGCCGCACAAAACAGACGTCAGGGGCACTGCGCCACACAACACAGAGGTCAGGGGCGCTGCACCGCACAAGACAGGGTCAGGGACACTGCGTCACACAAAATAGACATCAGAGACACTGCGCCACACAAGATAGATGTCAGGGACACTGTGCCACAAAACACAGAGGTCAGGGACACTGTGCCACACAGGACAGACATCAGGGACACTGTGCCACAAAACACAGGGGCCAGGGACACTGCACTTCACGAAACAGAGGTCAGAGCTTCTGGGACGTAAAGCAAAGCGGTACGGGACACTGGGCCGCCGAATAAAAGGGTGAGGGACACAGGGCCGCAGAACAGGGTCAGGGTTGCAGGTCCACACAAAATAGAGGCCAGAGAGAATTATCTTGGGAACACTGAGGCCGGGGACATTAGATCGTGGAACAAAGAGGGTAGAGGTCAACAAAGACAGTGATCAGGGGAACCGATATCCAGTAATACACCACTAAAAGGATATGAACAAGCCGAAGGGCAGGCCGGGACACTTGGGTCGCACAATCCATAGATCTGGGACAACGAGTCTCAAAACACAACAGTAAAAAATTCAAGACAGCCCAGCACAAAGATCAAGGACATTGGGCTGTAGAGCACAGAGTGCACAGGAACGGAACCGCAGGTATCAGGGGTCAGAAACATTGGCCAGTACAACACAAATCTGTAGGATCTGATGCGCAGAACACAGCGCACAAACCCTTTGCAGAACACGTTGGTGAAGTGCACTGGATTCGAAACAGTTGGTCGGCGGAGCATAATGGTCAGAGTGCAGCTCAGCGGACAGACCATGTAGACTGTGCGACCATATAGTGATCACGTACACACAGGAGCAACTAAGCAGAAAATAATGCGTCACACAGCCTTCAGACAGGCACGGCTGAGAGAAGTCACCAGGACCAGCCTTCTGACGGCGAAAGGTGTCCAAATTGCCGCGACCACTGACCCAGATTGCCGCCCAAGGAGGCTGCACCAGACTTCCGCCTGTCGCAAGCCGCATTGCAGTCCGCCAGAGATTTGAAATTGTTCTCATTCGCTTCGCAGCCGCTGAAGACGAACGGCACACAGCGCTGCTGCTCCGTGTCAAAGAAGAAACGCTCCAGAGTCCTCGAACAGGGCCCTCTGTTCTTCGGAAGCAAACAAGACGGCTCCACCTGGCTGATCTCTGGAACGGTGAGAGATTCCATCTTATTAACACGCAAACGCTTCGTAAATGTAGGTTAACTACTCATCTTTGTCCGTTTAAACACGGTAATGGAAGCTGCTCGAAACCATTCCTTCCGCTGCTTTACCAATCCTTTTCCTTGAGCGTCCGACGTTTCTGGCAGCTAACTAGTTTCTCTCACGGGCTCACCTAGCAGCTCTGAAGTTTCCGAGAGGGCCCTGTACGCCACATCTTCGGCTGAAACAGGGCGCATCCGTGTTACAGCTACGGACGCTGAAATACCGGCGCGCGCGTCAGCTCTCAGCCACATATGCAAACAAACACGCCAAGGCAGAAAAATCAGGATCTGCGCCAATACAACGCACGTCAAGAAATTTGCTCCGTAGGACAAGGCGGCTTTTTCCAGGTAACGGTCAACAGGCAGTACACCGCTGTAGGACTGGATGCGTCCTTTGCATCCTCCTCCGGGTACGCACGGCATTTCCAGTCGACGGGGCAGCAGACGTCTGTCATGTAGACTGGCACACACTCGCTGTTCGCCCGGCTGCAACGGAGGGTCACCCTCTCAGCATTGCACTCGCCCTGGCGACCTCCACATCTTCACAACACGCAACAATGCCCCCGCAGCAACAGTGCAGCGGACCGTGCAAGGCTCAGCAAAGAGGCCATTTAACATCGCTGACACCTCCAGCAAGGACGGTCGATCGAGAAGCGGGTTAGCCATTGCTAGTACTACGACCAGCTCTGCTGGGTCCAAATGTAATTTACCGGTGCTGCCCCCACCTTATGCAGTGGCACCCACTGGGTTCAGGCGTGATTATTAGTACTGACCGAGAGTTCTGGTCGAGACAGTCGTTGAACCGGCAGCCGGGGCCGCCAGGGCCCTCGTACTCGGTGGTGCAGACACACGTGACGCACGGGTCGTCACGAGTCGGCATCAGCTCGCCCTCCACGTACGTGAGGCCGTCAGCCTGGCACGTGTGCCCCTGGCTGGACAGGCTGATGTCCGTCGAGCGGCGCCTGCGGGAGCCTGCGGACGGGCGCAGGCGTTGGCTAAGTCGGTCAGGCTGCGCAACAGAGCAGCCTCCACCAGCCTGATGGGAAGTCCTCTCTGTCTCGCGGGGATTTTCCTGGAAACTCCGCAGCAACGCGACATCCGACGTCAAGTACACACAATGCACTACACGTTTCACACAGCCAAAGCTGGCAGGAGCGTCTGGTGACCACACAGCACCGTACACCAGACATGCCCTCCGCGACAGCCCCCCCCCCCTTCCGCGCTCGCGGCCGGGCCCCACTGACCGCACTGGACGCTGACGGGGCAGCAGCGGTCGGGCCCCACTGACCGCACTGGACGCTGACGGGGCAGCAGCGGCCGGGCCCCACTGACCACACTGGACGCTGACGGGGCAGCAGCGGCCGGGCCCCACTGACCGCACTGAACGTCGACGGGGCAGCAGCGGTCGGGCAGGTACAGCGGCAGGCAGCCGGCCGAGATCTGGTTCCAGACAGCGGCCGGACAGTCGAACTCGGCGCAGTCGATTTGCGGCCCCGAGCCCGGGTTGCTGGCGCACACGCAGTCACGCTTGCACGGGTCCAGCCGGCTGGCGGCCGGCACCCGCTCACCGGCGGCGTACCGCTTTCCGCGGTACGTGCAGGCGTCGTCGCTGCCCGCGTCCCGCACGTCGGCTGCGGCACGGCGGACAGAGTCAGGGTGTGGTCAGCTTGGGCGGCGGATGGCGTCAGGGTGTGGTCAGCTTGGACGGCGGACGGCGTCAGGGTGTGGTCAGCTTGGGCGGCGGACGGCGTCAGGGTGTGGTCAGCTTGACGGCGGACGACGTCAGGGTGTGGTCAGCTTGGACGGCGGACAGCGTCAGGGTGTGGTCAGCTTGGACGGCGGACGGCGTCAGGGTGTGGTCAACGTGGACGGCGGACAGAGTCAGGGTGTGGTCAGCTTGGACGGCGGACAGAGTCAGGGTGTGGTCAGCTTGGACGGCGGACGGCGTCAGGGTGTGGTCAGCTTGGACGGCGGACAGCGTCAGGGTGTGGTCAGCTTGGACGGCGGACAGCGTCAGGGTGTGGGTCAACTTGGACGGCGACAGAGTCAGGGGTGTGGTCAGCTTGGACGGGAGGACAGAGTCAGGGTGTGGTCAGCTTGACGGCGGACAGAGTCAGGGTGTGGTCAGCTTGGACGGCGGACGGCGTCAGGGTGTGGTCAGCTTGGACGCGGACGGCGTCAGGGTGTGGTCGCTTGGACGGCGGACAGAGTCAGGGTGTGGTCAGCTTGGACGGCGGACGGCGTCAGGGTGTGGTCAGCTTGGACGGCGGACAGAGTCAGGGTGTGGTCAGCTTGGACGGCGGACGGCGTCAGGGTGTGGTCAGCTTGGACGGCGGACGGCGTCAGGGTGTGGTCAGTTTGGACGGCGGGCGGCGTCAGGACGGATCCGCCCCTCTGGGTTCGGTAACGGCAAGTTGGCTGGGTTGACAGGGTCGGAAACACTTCTGAGATTTCGGCGCCTGCTGGCACGTTAATGATGTGAGTTTGACGTACGGCCTGAAGCTCCGGCTTCCTCCGCACAGAAGTGTCCGAAAGTTCAAGGTGGTATTTCAAGGTGCGTAAGGAGTCATTTTACCTCCTTCACAGTCATGTATATATATATATATATATATATATATATATATATATATATATATATATATATAATCACCGTTGGTCATATACATCCACGAACACGACTACTTGGTTGCTTGCCCGGTGCATAAAGTTGCCCCTCACTGTGTCTTAGCATATCTACGGTATGCTTGCTGGACAAGTGCATACATACTTTGACGTACGTCATAGCAGTATTTTCAGTATACTCACGACAGTCAAACCGCGTGGGACAGCAGTATACTCACGACAGTCAAACCGCGTGGGACAGCAGGCCTGGTTTTCATACACAGGCTCACAGCCCTTATCCAGGTTATTTTTGTACAGGGACCACGGACACCTTCTCCTGTCGCATTGGTTGTCTGAAAACAAACACATTCGCATCAAATGCGCGCCATTTTTGCCTTTGCTCGAAATAACACGCACACCTGGAATCTTGACGACACCTACGTCCGAAACGCTGCCCGATTTGATGGCGAGGATTTAGACGTCGTCTCCATTATCGAGTTCCCGGCCAAGTATTCGAGTGCCGACTTTCACCTGGTGCTAGCGATACCAGCATGCCGCAATAAAGTGACATGTGATATAATTTGGATCACAATCACATCAAGCATTGCTAACACCGCGCTCTCCCTCAAGCCATCAGTCGCGCTTGCTTGCTGAGCGCGTAAGTGCGCACTCAGCTCTCTCCCAGTCTATTCGACCAGTCCTTTAAAATGAAAATTAGGTAGGTCCGTAACGCATTTGCGAACGCGAACTGCCGGCTGCGGCTGAACGCAGCAAACTTGACGCTGCGACTCACGAGATTATCAGCGCCACACGATCGTGTGGTCAATCCGACGGAAACCCGCGCCCGCCAGGAGGCCACCAGTCTTCGAGTCGACGCGCAGCGCGAATCTCACCATCACTGGTGTAGGTGCCTCCGCACGCCTGGATGCATTTCGTGAGGCTGCGGAAGTTGTTCTCGTTGCCGCCGCAGCCGGAAAAGCCGAACTGACGGCACTTGTCGGCGGCCGTGTCGAAGTAATAGCGCGGCATAACATCGAAGCAGGGGCCCGATTTCACGGGCAGCCGGCAGGCGGCAGCCCGGCTGCTCTGCGCGCCACCTAGGGGGAAAACCACAAACGTCGGCCTGCGCGCCGGGCCGGCTGTCGCGCTGGTTGTTCGCGAGAATTTGCCATGCTCACGGAACTGTGTGTGGCCATGGAATCGGTGTGAATCTAGAATTCAGTACAACCACACCGGTGACACGAATGCAATGTACACCTCACCCACCTGGGGTGGCACTCATCCATCTGCTCTACTTCCTGGACGCCATTAACTTCGTGAGTGCCAACGTGAGGTAACCAAAAACAAAACAAAAAACACCAACCGCCAGCTGCGTCCGGATAGCTGCAAAACGCCAACACCAAGGGGCAAGTCGAGAAAGCAACAGCTTATTTAAAAATCAACGAGGCAAACGCGCCGCGCACGTGCATTGCTCGCCCCGTCGACCGCGCGCCACTGACCTGCGGCGCAACGCTTTCTACACTGTTTGCGTGTGCGGAAGAGATTGCGCGTGCCGCCACAGCCGCCGTAGATGTAGCGTCGGCACTTGCCGGCGGCTGCGTCGTACGTCCAGCGGCGAATGAAGCCATTGCACGGATCGCTGTCCGGCTCAATCGGCGGCAACTCGCATACCGCCAGTTCCTTGGCGCCGCCTGCGGCGGGAATGGCGTGCGTTTAACACCAACACCGTGTCCATTGTGCGTGTGCGTGCGTGCGTACGTGTGTGCGTGCGTGCGTGCGTGCGTGCGTGCGTGCGTGCGTGCGTGCGTGCGTGCGTGCGTGCGTGCGTGCGTGCGTGCGTGCGTGCGTGCGTGCTTGCGTGTGGATGTCACAGGGGCATTTGTCACAATAGCCTTTGGTAAGCAGATGTACGAATCTTGAAACGATGAGCATCAGATGTCTGTTACGTAGGCCAAGAGCCTTAAGTTGTGACTTAGTACAGTAAGCGACGCAAGAGGAACACGACACCGAGTGAAACTTCTTGGAAGAGAGGGTTACGCGTGCAGCAAGCCTCAGTTGTGAACAACTCGTCGCAAACGAGATAGGCGTGGAGTGCTGTTGTACTGGTATACAAAAGAGTTACTTTACAGTGCTATAGCACAAGGCCAACAGCCCCAATGAACTCTGAGCCCAGTCGTTGCTGAGCCCCGTGACAGCAGTCAGTGCGGATGCCCATTGAAAGGCCTTCCATAACTTTGTAATAGAAATGCCCCGGGCTAATTTCATCGTCCAGGCGTCCAGCCAGATGAGCTCTCACTGCCAGTCGGGTCAGATGGGACAGTCCCCTATCTCGCACCTAGTATCGCTGGGTTACGAGTCCAACATACTTCCCCTATATCAGGAAGACGACAATGATATTTCGAAACCTCAAACAAAGGGGCCGGCCGGAGTCGCCCACACCAGTGCCGTGTTGTCCCGTGCCTTGCGACCGCCGCGTCGACCCTACCTTTGTTGCTGGGCTTGCCAGGTCCGCACTGCTTCAACGTGCAGACCGCCCGCCCGCCAATGCAACGGCATCGGTTGCAGTCCTTTCTCCACACCGAGTCCTCTCTGCATTCACCTTAAAGGAAGGGCCGGAGATGTTATCACCGCGCATGCATTGAACTGTGTGTATGCACTTGGGTTTCCCACTTGCGCACTCCGAGAGCTAGTTCCTTCTCGCTAGTATTTTGTAAAGTAAACGCGCAACATAATCTTCGTTCCCAAGAAGTAGGAGACATGTTCTGAAGAATTCGTCAAGACACCATGCATACACGCTACGGCCGATCTCTGCGTCCATGACATCTGAGCTTTGCAAACATCGCATCCGTCCCCAGCGCCAGTGCAATGAGTCAGTGACACAGATATGTTCACTAAGTGAACCAGTGCTGGAGCAGGAGGAGCAGAAGTCTCACCGGTAACCTCGTCGATGAAGCTGATCTTGGATGGACACAGCATCTTGGTGCATAGGGGCCGACCTCCTGACGCAGTCACAGGTGTTACAGTCCTTCTTCCACACGCTGCCCTCGAGACAGGTGGCTGAAATCAGCACGAGCATGCGTCCAAACGTTTGGAATAGATGACGTTCTGGATAATATATCGGTCGGGTGTTTAGCGCTTGATGAGCCCCATCAATGTTCGGTTCCTCCTGCAATGCTCATATTCAAATATCACAGTGGACAAGGCGATGCACTAACAAAACTGACCCCACTTTGTCAATATGAGCGATAATTTGAGGACGATTTCACACGCACACAAATCGGCGAGTCTGCCCCGTCGGCGCACGGGTCGCGCTCACACTACAGTGTCACACGATAGCAAATATGTCTGCATGGCTGGCACTCGGTTCACGCTTGCAGCTCCCCCCCCCCCCCCCCCCTCCTTGCATCCGTCAGACTCGCCCTGTTACGCCATAAGTCACGTGACGTGACGCGGCCCCCCGGTCTACAGCTGATCATGGCCTAGGACGGCCCAGACCCATGCGGCATGCCGAAGCACGGCCGTGTGATGCTGGCCGACCGCCGGTCCGGGAACGCAAACACGCAGGGCACTGAGCCACGTACTGAAACCGATGGCACAGAATACAGCCAGTAAGACACGAGCCCATACCATGATACCGGGCCTGCTCCAGCTCTCACCACGCTCGTTGGCCTGCGGGACCGGGGCGTCAGACTGGGGTTGCTCCTTGGCGCACAGCTTCTTCGTGCAGGCCGGCTCTCCGTTGATGCACGCGCAGGTGTTGCAGTCCTCTTCCCAGGCAATGCCCTCCAGGCACGTATCTGCGGCAGACAAGGCAGGCCGTGAACGGCGGAAATGCATTGGGCACGCTGGAAAGGCGCCTGAGCTCGGTATCGAAAAAATGCTAGCATGCACGGTGCACAAACGAGGTATATCGCACCACGCAACTCAGACCGACGGCGATAAGCCATCCCTACACCACCATCGCCGGCTGAGCGACTGAGGGCTCCGCACATAAGGTGCGGAGTGCGCGTCAAAAATCACGTGCCATCGTCGTTCAGCTGGCCGACGCAGAAGAAGAGGCCTATCCGCCATTTGACCCTTCCGCATTGGTCCCTTGGTCAGCGTGAGCGACGGCCCGAGGCGCAGCAGAACAGCGCGTGACTGACCCGGCTTCATGCACAAGGCGCCGCAGCCGTTGGAACAGCACTTCTCGTCGTCCGGGCACATGTCGTCTCCGTTGCAGCCGTTGAAGCAGAATCCTAGCGTTCCCGGAGGCACGTACGGACACTCCCCCGGCTTTTTGTTACCACCTGCGGGCAGGGCCAGGGTCAGGATGTCGGCGGAGTTAGCCAGGACACGGGGGGGGGGGGGGGAGTCATGAAAGTAATGACAAAAATATCGTCTGACATATCCTTTTGGACCATTGGGCGACTTACAATCAAACACACACATACAACTTTATGAAAAGCTGAGCAGCGCGTGGGATAAAGAAAGACGTTGAAGGCCTCCGGGCATTTCGCTTAAGGCTCCAAAACGCACACGTGCCTGCAGGGCCGTCTCCCGACCTCACCTCCCCGTTCGAAGCCGACGCACGCCTTCTTGGTGCAGGAGACGCGGCCGCCCTGGCAGCGGCACGTGTTGCAGTCATCCTTCCACTGTTCGCCGTCGTTGTCGCAGGTGTCACCGTCGGGCACGACGAAGCGCACGGGCACGCCGGGGCGGCCGCCCTCCGGACACGGCCGGCGCGTGCAGCGCGGCTCGCCGCCGATGCACTTGCAGCGGTTGGTGCACTCGTCGATCCACTCTTCGTCCTCCGTGCAGGGCCCTGCGGCGAGCAGAGGAGCCAATAACGAGGTCCGTCGGGCAGGAATCAGAGGGAGACCTTCGACGGGTGTGGCGATGCTCGTGAATGGGGTAGTATGCCGATTGAGTATGCTCAAGGAACGGGTCATATTTCTGGCGCCACCTGCTCGCATACAGACATAGGATTGGCGAGTTGCTACTATGACTTTTTTGAAACCCTCAGTCCAGTTCACTACCACTTGAGTTACATATACCTCCTCTTTCACCGAGCAGCACCGAGGCCCAGATTGGTGACGAGCACCAGGAAGTTCAAGGGGAAGCGGCTGCTGACCTTCGTCACGGATGGGTAGGTCCATCGGGGTGCAGATCTGTTCGGTGCACTGGACTCGGCCCTCGGTGCACGTGCACCGAGTGCAGTCTTCCTTCCACGTGCGGCCCTCTGCGTCGCACGCGTCCCCTGCCTTCGGAATATCCTCCACCCGTTCACCGGCCTGCGCGGCACATAACTTGTCATACCGCACGCTGCACGTCACCCGCGAACATCGGACACCTCTCACCGGCATTTCACCAAAACTGCGCCACTCAGGCAACACCCTCCACTATTACAGCATTTTTAGGAAAGATTACACGCTTTTAATGCCCAAATGGGCTCAGTTACTGGCATCACTTGGCTGTCAGGCTGCCGAGCTGGAGTAACGCGGAGCCAGCTGGAGCTAACAACTGGAGCTAACAGCTGGAGCTAACAACTGGAGCTAACAACTGGGGCTAACAGCTGGAGCTAACAGCTGGAGCTAACAGTTGGAGTTAACAACTGGAGCTAATAACTGGGGCTAACAGCTGGAGCTAACAGCTAGAGCTAACAGCTGGAGCTAACAGCTGGCAGGAGCCAACCTTAAGCAACAGCTCCGGTCGGCGAAAGCTGTGCCTTTGCAGGGCAGGTGGGGCATGCCGCACCACGAGCACACGGCAGGAGTTGGCTGACCTTCTTTCCTGGCGGGCACGCCTTGAGGGAGCAGGCGGCCTGGCCGGACGAAGTGCAGCGGCACGTGTTCTCGCACTGATCAGTCCACTTGGAGCCGGGCAGGCAACGAATCCCTGTCACACGCAACAAAGGGCACTGAATTCAAAGCTGAGAACCACGTGCAGTACCTCATCGCACGTAGCACGAGCGGGTTGTGTGACGGCAAATATCGCTTTCAGTCACGAGGAAGCAGTGACACTTTCATGGTCGATGTAAGGTTTATTTGAGAAAAACCGTACCTCAAACCAACATGATAGATCACTTCTACAGTCCCAATAGTATTGCGTCAATTTGGCATGATTACACGGACAGTCCCACAGCACTGATGACTGTGGCCCGGGAATCCACGCAGAACTCACGAACGCTGACAATGAAGTTAACAGGAATATAAGAACCATGGAGTTCGAAGCTAGACTTGAATCTCACTAGCCTGGAGGTCTAAATCCGGTCCAGACCTCCCTGATCTATACGGTCAAACCTGTCCCTGACCTCAATAACCTGAAGGTAAAAACTATACCTGTCTCTCCTCCCTTCCTGACCCTTCCTAACGCCAAGGTTTAGACCTGGCCGCGACCATGCCTCGCCTGACAATCCAAACCTGACTCTGCCCTCACTGGCCTTGACATGAGACCTAGCTGGATGCGACTCTGCTAATACAGACGTTCAAAACTGAACGCTGACCTCCACTGACCTGGAGGTCCGAACCTGGCTGAAACGCCTGTCTCCTGGCAGATGTCCTCAGTACAGTTGACGCGACCTTCGGTGCAGCTGCACGTGTTGCAGTCTTGCCGCCAGGTGGCGCCCTCTTCCGTGCACGTGTCGTTGACGGCCGACACGAACTTGGTGGGCACGCCGTACTGGCGGCCGTACGGGCACGCCTTGAGCGTGCAGTAGGAGACGCCGTTGGGGCTGCAGCTGCAGATGTTGTCGCACTCGTCCAGCCAGCTGGAGCCGGGGCGGCACTGCTGTACTGTGGATGACACAGGCGTCAGCGATAGGTCCGGTCACGTGCAGAGCCGCGCAGGCTGGCTCACCGCGGGGCTCTGGCGAGCAGGGACCGCGCAGGGACCGCGCAGAGCTGCGCAGGGACCGCGCAGGGCTGCGCAGGCTGGCCCACCGCAGTGGTCAGGCGCGCACGGACCGCGCAGGGACCGTGCAGAGCATCGCTGTGATGCGCTCTGCGGCTGCCGAGCAGAGCACGGGTCTCACGTGCACACGCGCTATGGTGACTCCAGAACTGCTGGTATTTCGCCATTGGAGTGTTCAGAGCAAAGATAACGTGCACAATTCCGCCAAGACATAGAACAATCGACCAAAAGTTTAACCAGCATCTGTGTGCGGGAGAGAGCGGCCTCGTCTAAATAGCTTCACCTAATGTCATCATCTCTCTGGGACTCCCGGCCCCATCACCCTGGGGCTGACCCGCCATCGCCGCACCGCAGCTGCACAGTTTGTGCCGCCCACGCCCTCGAACCCCACGCTCCACACTGGGCCGTGGAGAGCGAGAAGAGTGACGCCGCGCTCACCTGGCACGCCGTCGCGCTCTTGCTGGCGCTGCCGGCAGGCGCCGCGCGTGCAGGCCGTGACGCCGTCCACGCACTGGCAGGCGTTGCAGTCGTCGTGCCAGGTGCCGCTGCCGTCCTCGCACGGCTCGCCCAGCCGCGGCAGCACCTTCAGCGGCCGGCCCGCCTGGCGACGGCGGCGGTCAGTGGCCCGCCTGTGTGGGCTGCCACCGCGACGGACGCGGCGACCACGGGATCCCGTGTGTGGGTCAGTGAACCGGATACGGGGTCAGACACCTCCTCGTCCGCCCTGAGCATGGTATCACTGCATGCCGTTTTCAGTGAGAGGATATGTCCGCCATCAGCCCAGGGGTGAATTGAAACTCGAGCCGCCCTTGATTCTGGACTCTTTCGGACCCAGAGAAGCTCCACCAGCGCACCAGCAGGTAACAACTGGGGACGGCGCTGTAGGCAGGCTCTTTGCAGATGGCCTTGTTTTTACCAGTCAGCTTAATTTCACATTATCATAATGGTTCGAACGGGCCAGGAGGCTCTTCACACTGGTGATTTGTCGGGTGACTGACCTGTTTTCCGGGGGCGCAGACCTTCAGCGTGCACATGACGAGCCCGCCGTTGGAGCAGCGGCAGTTGTTGTCGCACTCGTCTGTCCACTCCTTGTCCTCCTCGCACTGCTTGTCAGAATCTGGCTCTGATCCTGTGCAGCATCGAACTAACGTAAACACGTCTGCAGCAACATTTAAGCAATTAGGCGACTATATGGTGACATCAAGCATACACAGCGATATTGGGGCAAATTCTCAGCCGCACCCACGACGATGAAAACGAATCCTGCATCGACACGGAACATCGACACGAAACATCGACACGAAACATTGACGACCGAATGTATCCCCACACAACGAACTAGCAACACGTAGCTTTTGGGAGCGATGTTTCAACAGCGACAAAAATGGCAATTTGTACCAAAACCCAACAGCCATCAGGCAGAGTTTAAGATGCATCGGGGGAGCCCCCCCCCGCCCCCCCCCCCCCAAGCTGATGTTCCTCGACCCGCCCCTGCGACAGCAGCCCAGCCGGTAGCACGCCGCCCGCTGCCCCTCACCGGCGAGCAGAGGCGCGCGCAGCAGTTGCTGCCTGCAGGGGCGTGAGCTGCAGACCACTAGGCCGTCCAGGCAGCGGCACATGTTGCAGTCGTGCCTCCACGAGCTGCCCTCGTCCGTGCACGCGTCGCCGTCCGCGTAGATGTACCTGTTGCCCGAGGGCGGTGCGCCAGAGCAGTGTCAGACGCCAGGTCAGGCTGATCGCGAGACAGGGAAGGCTGGGGGCTCGTCTCGTCTAGTGAGAGCTGGCTCTGCTTTTGTCGCCCAAACAAGGTTCAGCAGTAGGTATTTATAATTGATAAGGGATGCATTCGAACATGAGCGGGTGGTATATGTGAAAACAGCGCAGTTATGCCCACAGGCCTCTGGAAGCAGACTTTATGCAAAGGACAGCTTGTGTTTGGAGCTTCAGCAAAAGCGCATGCTCGCTTTTCGTGTAGAAAAACAAGATCGCACAGTAACCGTCATTTTGATCGTGTTTGTTGCGTTGTTCAATCACTAATATTGTGTTTATGCAGAATGCTGTGTTTAATGCAGAATACGCTGGTTCCTTTTACAATTCATCACTAGCACATTAACAGCGCAAACGAACTGCTCACATACCCTCCCACAAAACTACGAGACCACTAAAAACCTGTTAATAGCACCCATTTTGCATGGGTCGCTCGTAGGTTCCTGTTCGTGTGCGCTGATAAGCAAGCCGAGGCGAAACTTTCACTTATCACGTCCTGACCCAGACGAGTTCACTGTTCAGTACAGACCTCCCAAAACAGTCTGCTATGTGCCTTCTGGTATAAAGCAGATTTAGCGTGCCATAAGCAGTGAGGCCGAGAGACTCGGGTTTATAAACAGAAACAAGAGCTCGCTGAGAGGCATGGGACCATGGTGTTTAATTGCCTGCTTTATGGAGCTCCCAGGTCCCCCCCGTGTTGGTACATCTCACAAACACGACGCGGGAGGCGTCGCAGTAAAGTCAGCTCGCGAGAACAACGGAATCACAGACGGCGTGTGCTTCACACTGAGTGCGAAAAAGTCGCTTCTCATGTAAACTGTTTTGGAGTCCGTTCAAATTCCCGCACTGTAAGAGTAAACACCTCCCTCCCGCTCACCATCCAAGCCACCGATCGCGTTCGGAACGCCAAGGCTGTTTGACGCAACTCGTGCAAAGAACCACGGAGTATATGTGAATCATATGCCTCAGTGATTCAGAATCCTGCTTGATAAACTGAGTGAGGATCTGTTTCGAAGCCAAACGTAGTGATTTTTAGAAGGCAGCTGGAGAGACCTGGTGGCTGGACTTAAGCCCTGGCCAGTAGGGTGCGAAATTTGCCAGCCCCAAATACATTTTTAGATTCCTTCGACTGCCGGCCAGATCGTGTCTGGGCGCTCCGAGCGCACCTCGCGAGAGACATGAACCTGTACCCGAGTGCCAGAAAGGTACCTGAAGGTCATTAGTGTCTGAACGCCCGTTGCGAAGCAACGCTTCTCGTGAGAACTGTGACCTGGTCAGCGGTCGTCAGTCACTGCCATTGGCCGGTAACCGGCGGTCAGGTCAGGCTGCCACTGGACCTTATGGAAAACAGGGACTGACCGGCAGCCGAGTCCCACAACTGAGCCCATAGCCGGTCTGGTGCCCGGCAGCCGGCCCCCTGTGGACACATTCACCATCCGGTCCCGACGGTCGTCCCATCCCCGGTCCGCACGCACCTGACGGGTACCATGGGCCGCTTGCCGGGAGGGCACGACATCAGCGTGCAGGCCGAGTGGCCGCTGTCCGGACAGAAGCAGGTGTTGTCGCACTTCGTCGATCCCACCGCTGGCCGGGCGTGCACGTCAGGGCTGGGGACACGCGGCGCCGGGTCACCCAGGAGACGTGCGGACGCGGCGGCGGCCTGAGCCGCTGGAACGGCACGAGGCGGGCTGCAGGGACAGTCTGTGCGGAGGCCGGCTCAGGGACGGTGCTGACGCATGGAAGATGAGCTCAAAGACAGTAGTTTCCAGTTTGCTGGGAATTCATCCAATACACGTATCTGTGTAAATAACGGCATGTATTTCCAGCCGAGGGAGCTCGTCCAATGGCGCCAATTAAACCGACTAACTATCACCAACTGCGCTCATCCTTGCATGCCGGCTCAAAGAGGGCTTCGAATGGTCCGGGCTCTGGTCTGAGTCCTACCAATCGTCACACACAGGGCTTCGAATGGTCCGGGCTCGGGCCTGAGTCCTACCAATCGTCACACACAGGGCTTCGAATGGTCCGGGCTCTGGTCTGAGTCCTGCCAATCGTCACACACAGGGCTTCGAATGGTCCGGGCTCTGGCCTCAGTCCTGCCAATCGTCACACACAGGGCTTTCGAATGTCCGGGCTCTGGCCTCAGTCCTGCCAATCGTCACACACAGGGCTTCGAATGGTCCGGGCTCTGGCCTCAGTCCTGCCAATCGTCACACACAGGGCTTCGAATGGTCCGGGCTCTGGCCTCAGTCCTACCAATCGTCACACACAGGGCTTCGAATGGTCCGGGCTCTGGCCTCAGTCCTGCCAATCGTCACACACAGGGCTTCGAATGGTCCGGGCTCTGGCCTCAGTCCTACAATCGTCACACACAGGGCTTCGAATGGTCCCGGGCTCTGGTCTGAGTCCTACCAATCGTCACACACAGGGCTTCGAATGGTCCGGGCTCTGGCCTCAGTCCTACCAATCGTCACACACAGGGCTTCGAATGGTCCGGGCTCTGGTCTGAGTCCTACCAATCGTCACACACCAATCGTCACTGAGTCCTATCAATTGCAGCACGCTACACTGTCGTACCATATCATTGTGTTATAAGCTCCAATATCTACAGGACTCCATGGATCCAAGGCTTGATGTCACGTGATATTATCACGACAAGCAGACATGTGCAACTGTCGCGGACACTTGTGCCAGTCATTCAAAACATGGCCAATGGCAGATATGGCACTTCACTTCCGCGTCGCGACGAACATCTACCAGGCAGTGATAGCATGCCAGTGACGCACAACATGTCTGAGACGATGGCATGCCAGTGACGCACAACATGGCTGAGGCAGTGGCATGCCAGTGATACACAGCACATGGCTGAAGCAATGACATGCCAGTGGCGCACAACATGGCTAAGACAATGCCATGCCAGTGACGCACAACATGGCTGAGGCAATGACATGCCAGTGACGCACAACACGGCTAAGACAATCCCATGCCAGTGACACACAGCATGTCTAAGGCAATGGCATGCCAGTGACACACAACATGGCTGAAGCAATGTGATGCCAGTGGCGCACAACGTGGCTAAGGCGATGGCATGCCAGTTACACACAGCATGTCTAAGGCAATGGCATGCCAGTGACACACAACATGGCTGAAGCAATGTGATGCAAGTGGCGCACAACGTGGCTAAGGCAATGGCATGCCAGTGGCACACAGCATGGCTGAAGCAATGGCACACCAGTGGCGCACAACATGGCTAACATGTGTGATCTTACCCGTGAACGGCGAGACGAAGCGGACGCTCTGTCCTCTGCTGCTGACAGAACTTCTTGGTGCACTCGACCACGCCCCCGCGTGCACTGAGCAGGTGTTGCATTCCTCCTTCCAAGAATCGCCCTCATTTTTGCAAGCGTCTCCGTCAAAGACGATGAACTTGACCGGCTTTCCGGCAACCCTGCCTTTCGGACATCCCATCCTGATGGCAGAGTAGGGCAATCGTGTGGTAGACATTGGCTTTGGTGTCATCGATGTTCCTCACCATCCAGTGGAGAAAGTTGCGACAAGGATCACTGCAAGGCGTGCATTATTGCTGCCATATATGACAAACGGTTATCTTTTAACTGCTGCTGCTAATGCTGCTGTTGGCTCTCTGCAAGAGCGTAGTCCAGTACACTTTCCTACAACCATTGCGGATACGATGCCCCGCCTAGAATGGGTGTAATATTCTACCTGCAGCGGACACTCTGTCCCATCCACAAAGGACATCTTGATCCACCGAAAGCGGACATTCTGTCTCACCAAAAGCGGACACCTCGTCATGCCCGGAGCGGACACCTGGTCATTCCCGGGCCCTGCCCCTCCCTGAGCCGAAGCGCTGCCACCCTCCTCTCACCCTACTCAAGCGGACCCACCCTCCAGCGCTAAGGCGCGCTCACCTGGTGCAGAGCGGCTGGCCGAGCCAGCAGCCACAGATGTTGCCGCACTCGTCCTCCCCGTGGTGTCCTCCTGGCAGCTCATCCAGTCCAGCTCGGCGGCGGCGGTGGCGGCCACACCCTGCTCCGGACAGCCGCGCTGAGAGCAACGACACGCGGCCGGCGGCGCACGAGCAGCGGCCGCAGCCCTGCTGCCATCGCTCGCCCTCGTTGGTGCACGTCGAGCCGGCCTCGAGCAGGAAGTGGACGCGCGCGCCCTCCTGCGGCGGCAGGCCGACACGAGGGATCAGCAGCCGGTCGGCGCCGTGCCGCTGGATCCCACGAGGACGCAGATAGGGGGTGACCCAAGCAGAGGGGACGGCAAGCCCATCAGCTGACTTCAGTGTGTTACGCACGATGGCTGGAGGTCCCGTAGGGTTTGTTTGGGTTAGCCAGTCAGCAACACTCGTTAAGTTTCAAAATGTTTAGTGCCCCTGTGGCGTGAAGTAAGTCACAATAGCCCAGGTTCCACACGGACTCTAGTTAAGGTACATACAGCCTATACGTGTGCTTTAAATTAGCCACGGACCCGGATGTTTTTAAGAAAGGCCTGCTTCGACGTTACGCCCATACTAGATGCATCCCGACTTGCGGGATGCGGCTGCTCTCACACACGAAGACTACGAGAATTCTGCAATCTTGAGTTAATGGGCAAGATGCCTGCGGTGGTTTACCCCACATGTTCAGCGGATCACTCTCTGGACCACATAACGATCAAGACGGCACGATCCATGTGGTGTCGAGTCTCCACCCAGCCCTCGTCAGCCTACTCGCGGCTTCTGAGCCGGCCGCAGCGCAAAGGGCTGGGATGACCATCCGCCGATCCCACGCCCCATGAGCCGATTTAAAGGTCAGAATGATGATGGTATGACTTGCACCAGCATCATTTTTAATTCATCTGTGGCGGTTGGCCTATCATGACGGTTCGAATGAGAGAAAACCGCGTTTTTGCAGATTCATTGTCGCTCTTCGTAACCGCAACACCGGTTCAGTTCGAAAACGGAAACCAATTCGCTTTCACGGGATGACGTAACGTCAGCCGAAGACGTTCATGAACCTACCTTACATTGACCATAGTTCAGCTTTCAATCGGAATATTCATGTACGTCGGGTATAAGCAAACAAAAAAGGCTCGAATGTCGCTACTTTGAGCTCTATTTTCAGCCTGACCTGACGAGGCCCTGGCATTGCATGACCTTCAGAAAACGTCAACTTGACATCCATCAGTTTTCATGATTTGGTTCGTTAGCACGGTCAGTTAGCTTCGACGGCTTTATCGGCGTCCATTAACAACTCAGTCCACATTTTTCATTTTCCACATTTTCACCGCACACGCCTTTGCAAGAAGATCATAGGTCCCCTAACTGACAGGGTAGGAGCTTAACAATTACAGATCAGAAGATATATGTTTAAAAGCAGATAGGATTTTAACAAAATACCTTAAATAATGTGGGAGAAACCTCTCAAACATTGGAGGCGGGTTCAAACAAACCCCCTGCCCTTGGAACGGTTAACCGAGTCTTGGTCACTTTCTTACTATGTCAACAAATGTTACGCAGCCATGCGAGATGACGCGGGTCAAGACATCTGAACACAATGCGTTAGAACGTTGGGTTCAAAACACCCAACGCCGCGCGATTCCACACACGCACGCATGCTACATTGGATCGATGAGAATGGCTTCCCTCGCGTGCCCGTCACGTGGTGCCAGTTGGGATGCCGACCGATATTGATGATGCGCAGCGCATCTCAACAGTTCCTTGGGCTCAAAGAGGTAGGTGTTGCACACGCCCACATACGCTCTACAAAGCACTCTTGCACCGTACCTGCCTGCCATAAGGACACTCGTTGAGGGTGCATTTGGGAAGTCCACTCTCGGAGCAGTAGCACAGGTTATCGCACTCGTCCAACCAGCGCGTGCCGGTCTGACACTCCCCTGCGAACAAACAGGAACAGGTGGTTAACTAGCAAAGCGTTATCAGCACGTGATCTCACAGATAATAAGAGAAATGGTCGGAAAAAATTGTTTTGGTGTATTTTGCGGTTTCGTCCCCCCCCCCCCCCAAGCATAAAAGCGGGTTGCTAGGAAACTATCAGCTCTAACCACATAGCACGTGACGAGTAACCGCAAGTGTTATGCACAGCTATTCACATCATGTACGCGCTCACCGAACTTCTCCGGCTCCTGCCGCTGGGCACAGAGCCGGCGCGTGCAGCTGACCACGCCGCTCGTGCAGTCACACGTGTTTGCAGTCCTGCTGCCAGCGCTCGCCCTCGTTCTGGCAGCGATCACCCGAGCGCAGGATGGGTCTGAGCCGGGCGCCGGCGCGCTGGCCGGGACCGCACGCCAGCAGCGTGCACGCCGGCACGCCGCCCTCGGTGCACTCGCACAGGTTGCCGCACTCGTCCTCCCATCGATCGTCCGGCTCGCACGGCTCTCGAAGACAGAGGTCAGATGTCAGGGGGAGTGGAGGGAGGCGGGGGTAAGCGGGGGTGAGCGGTGGGAATGGGGAGTGGGAGCGCCGGGTCGGGGGGGGGGGGGGCGACGCCAGGTACGGAGCGTGGCAGGACTGATGCAACGTGCATCAAAATGGTAGCGTGGTGTTTGCTGTAGGCAGAATCAGCTGCCGCAGGAGTGACGGGCAGATTTAATATTCCATTTCTGAAACCACGAATAATATCTCGGCGGTTACTGTAGCGGCGATATATTCATACCTCCGTGCAACTCCAACTACCCTGAGCGCACGGAACTTGTTATCCGGTTATCCGGTTATCCAGAGCATGTAAACCTATTATTGCATCATTTCGCTTCGAGTTGAACACTGCGGTTTACATACGAGAAACCGGAATGTTCTCAGCGAAGCGAAGAGTAATAAGGATTCTGACTGTTAGTCTGAGCCGTTACCTTGAAAACGGCAAAATTGAGCGCCATTTTAAATGCGCACGATTTAAGTTGAACACAGTGCACATGTAGGTTGCCTCAAACATTATTCAATTTGGCTAAACATTCGTCCAATTTGGCTCGACATTTTTCCACTGGCAATATCAACTGTTTATTCATTACGACGGCCTCAGCGTCATTGAGGCCACATCAGATTCTGCTCTTCTGCTGGCTGCACAAAATGTCTAGAGGAGCAGAAACAATGCGACCTGTCCAGCGAGAAACGGATGACACACGCATACCACAATGCAAAAAGTTACCACCATTTGGCCAGATCGCCTAACTTAGTAAATACGCAATCATGTGTCGGAATCCGAGATTTGTCCGCCTTACCATAACTTAGTGATTTGCAAGTTTGCCAAAGGACAATAGAACCTCCTTTTGCCTACAACCTTGATTTTAACGAAGCTGTCATGTGGACATCGAAGCATAGAACAGCTGCTCATCTCACACCATCGCTCCGAAAATGAGCAACCAGTAAAGATCTGACCCGTTTTACGAAATCTGACTGCTTCCCACATGACGTAAATCTCCGGCCTGCCCACATCACCCTCACGCCTGCAAGGCACTCGCCCACCGCAGCTCGCCGGCCGGACTCCACCTGCGGCCGGCATGCCCGCTCGTCTTACCGGGTGTCTGGGGCGCACGCCGGGGGCACGGCGCCGACCTCGCAGACAGCCCTGCCCTCCACGCACGAGCAGCTGTTGCACTCGAGCGTCCAGATGTCGCCCTCGGCGCACGGGTCGCCGGCCGTGCGCACGAACGTCATGCTGCGCTCACTGCGCACCCGCGGCGGGCACGGGCCCACCGTGCAGCGGGTCTTGCCGGACGCGTCGCACAGGCACCAGTTCCCGCAGCCGTCCTTCCACTTGCTGCCGGCGAGGCACGAGCCTGGAACCGGCGCCGGCCGATTGGGCAGGTGGGACGGGCACGCTGACGCTGGCGCTCATGGCGGGGTGTACACCGGGCTTCCCCGCTACCACGACCAGCACCATGATCAGCAACCACGATATGTGACGAGGCCGATTTCGACATACATCCTTGCCATCCGTAACAGTCGGCATAAGAGCAACTGTTGCGCTCTCGCACGTGGTGAATGTGTCGCCATGCAGATTCATGCACAAGGACGCTCATTGCTTCACTGTTCAAGTTGCTAACGTGTTATTGGACGCGGCAAAGGCTTCTGATTCAGTTCGATGAATTTTACCATTTGCAGCCTGCAGAAGAATGGACAGACACCGTGCTCACTCACCGGACGTGATCGGGTTCCGTCGGACGAGCCACCTGTCTTTGGTGCACACGGTGACGCCGTCCCGGCAGCTGCACGTGTTGCACTGGTGGTGCCAAGTCTCACCAACATTATTGCACGTCAAACCATCTGAAATCACAGCGTAACACACGCATCGTAACTACACTCACAGCAGGCGACAGGCTGCGACGGACCCAACTATAGCAGCGTCGACATTTCCCAACATAGCGCTTATGAGTAAACATTTTGCTCACAACGAATGTCAGCAGTGCTAGGTTCGCATTTATAACGTTCAGGTTAGTTGGTTATTATATTTACTTTCCCATCCAAACGCTTTTGTAGATTATTTAGGCTCAAGCAAGTGAAAAACTACTTCGAGAGCACCTCTTGCTTACCAATTAACTTACTTAAAAAAGTTGCATTATTTGAAATGAGTTTTTAAACTAGGCATAATGATTTTAAGCGTCCTGAATAGCTCTGAGCTTCGATGGCGGTAAATGTGGCTAACAAATAAATACTCTCCAGATAACTTCTTTCTGGGGTGGATGTGCTAGTAGTAGGTGTGACGTGCCCACACACCGGTGCACGCCGGCGTACGTAAATGTAACCAAAAAACTACATGCGGCACGCCCCTTTTCACCCACGTTTCCAGGTCAGTGTTCTTTCCTTGTGTCCTGAGTTTCGCACCAGCGCGGTACGCTGTATGCGTCGCGGGTATTTGTAGCGTAATTGGTGGTGGCGGGATCAGACGTTGGCCGGGGCCGACGTCCCTTCTGCCCGGCACTACGGACCTTCGCCGATCCGAGCTGACAGCCGGTGTCGCACGGGTGCGGCGGCCGTGGCTGCCGAGGTCAGCTGACCAGAATCTGCCGCGCCGCCTGAGCTAACGGGGGCGCCACATCCGCCGGAACCAGTGACATCACCTGCCAGTCCGGCCTGGGCCCGGGTCATCAGCTTCCGACCTCACCCTGCGATGAAACATGCAGCAGCTGATAGCCGAATAAGGCCGCCGCCCGCCCGGCCAGCTGGCGACGGGTGCTCACGTGACAGGCAGCTGGATAGTACAAACGCCGCTCCTAATGTCCCCACCCCGCCGCCCTCCAGGACGGTCCAGCTGACCAGCTGCGGAGACTCCCGGACGGTGGTGCTGGATAGTACAAACGCCGCTCCTAATGTCCCCACCCCGCCGCCCTCCAGGACGGTCCAGCTGACCAGCCGCGGAGACTCCCGGACGGTGGTGCTGGATAGTACAACGCCGCTCCTAATGTCCCCACCCCCGCCGCCCTCCAGGACGGTCCAGCTGACCAGTCGCGGAGACTCCCGGACGGTGGTGCTGGATAGTACACAGACGCCGCTCCTAATGTCCCCACCCCGCCGCCCTCCAGGACGGTCCAGCTGACCAGCCGCGGAGACTCCCGGACGGTGGTGCTGGATAGTACAACGCCGCTCCTAATGTCCCCACCCCGCCGCCCTCCAGGACGGTCCAAGCTGACCAGCCGCGGAGACTCCCGGACGGTGGTGCTGGATAGTACAACGCCGCTCCTAATGTCCCCACCCGCCGCCCTCCAGGACGGTCCAGCTGACCAGCTGCGGAGACTCCCGGACGGTGGTGCTGGATAGTACAACGCCGCTCCTAATGTCCCCCACCCCCGCCGCCCTCCGGGACGGTCCAGCTGACCAGCCGCGGAGACTCCCGGACGGTGGTGCTGGATAGTAAGGCGCCGTTCCTAATGTCCCCACCCCCGCCGCCCTCCAGGACGGTCCAGCTGACCAGTCGCGGAGACTCCCGGACGGTGGTGCTGGATAGTACGGCGCGCTCCTAATGTCCCCCACCCCCGCCGCCCTCCAGGACGGTCCAGCTGACCAGTCGCGGAGACTCCCGGACGGTGGTGCTGGCCCTCAGACGCATGCCGTCAGGTCCGGTAGGCTGTGCAGCTGCTCAGACAGCACTTGAGTACCCCACCATGCCGCCGCGCAGCTTGTGTTTTTACGACTGCTGAAGAAATCGTACGTTTCAAATCGCGGCTCCAAGCGAAAAAGTCGACAACGGAATTTTATCGGGCGATTCGTCATTGTGCGAATGCATTCGGAAGTATAAAGTTTCTCCGAAGCTTCTGATATCAAGCTTCTCTCACTTGTGCTAATATTGGCAGCGTACAAATCTTTCACGCCCTTGGCATCTGATGGGGACCAAAACATGAGTGCGCAATCACAAAGCCTTTAATGCAGGCGGAGACTTACTGCTTTAAAATGCCCACATCTCCCACATATCTTTGGTGACAGACGCCAACTGCCATGTCTGTCGGCGGTACGTCATTTGACGTTATCCATACGTTAAACGGTGTTGTGTATCCTTGAAACCAGACGGAAGTATCTTGTCCCATGTGTCATGATCGATTTGATCAATTAACGAAAGTCCGGGAGGAGGGGAGGACTGGGCAGCCTGCAGCGCTCGGTTGTGCTCATCACCACCAGTCTTCCTGTCATCCGAAATTGACGCTCGGGGTCACGACCTAGCCCCAAGTTTCACTGGCCGTGCCCCGCTGCTGGCCCTACCTGTGGAGCCGACAGCCCAGAGCGTGACCTCAGCGTACATGTGCCGCTCACATGGCTGGGACGGCTGAGCGGCACGTGCAGGCGCTACCACACCTCGGCCAATCCGAGGCGTCGACCTGACGCTGACGCACCGCTCGCCCATCTCGGCCGCCCCGTCGCTGCCGGACCGCCGCCGGGAGTGGCCGGCTCGGCTTTCATCGAAGCGGGGGTATCGGCGACGGGCCGGGGGGGGGGGGGGGGCGCCCCCGCCCTTCACCGAGCTGACGCGCCAGCACCCCAGCCGACCGGCGCGGACATTGTGCACTCCCGCTCGAAACATGCTGAATGTGCATCAGATATGCCGCTTCAGGATCGCGTCGGAGTTACTTACGGAGACACTGGGCATGTCTGACAAGGCGCGGAAGTACCAGGCTAGCGATCGCCTCAGCACGGAGCGAGCACGCCAGATCACACACGACGCAAACTGACCTCGGCTCTCGCTCGCCGAGCCGGGTC